TTCCTCTAAGTTCATTTTTCTCTTTCTCCCTGGCTATGTAGATAGTTCAAAAAGAATAGAACAGAACACCATCTCTTTTCTTTTTTATTCTGAATTGAGTAACAAAGTAGTGTATGAAAAAGAGAAGAAAAGAGGAAGAGAAGGGAAGAGAGATCAAGAGAAAGGAGAGAGAGAGAAGAGAGAGAGAGAGAGAGAGAGAGAGAGAGAGAGAGAAGAAACAGACTCAGTCCTGACAATGAAGGTATATGGAAAGTACTTAAATTTACAGTATTTTACATAATAAACTTCATTCATTTCAAGTGTGTCTTCCACAATTTTTGGGGAGGGGATTAAGACAGAGTCTCTCTGTGTAGACCTGGCTGTCCTGGAACTTGCTCTGTAGATCAGGATGGCTTTTATCTCAGAGATCCACCTGCCTCTTCCTCCTGTGTTCTGGGATTAAAGGTGTGTGCGCCATTACCATCCGGCTGCTGGTTTGCATTTTAAAATAAATTTCCTGAGAAGAACAGCTACCACCATAGCATTTTTATCTTCTAAATAAGATCATATATGACTATTAACATTTAGTTGTTTCTCTTGTACCCGTTACCAAGAGACCAATAATTTACCTTCTGTCACCACTAGTTTACACTGCACAAACATTTAATATAAATGTAACTATGTAACATGTGCTTTCTGATACTTGGATCCTTTCACTTCGTATAATTTGAGATTGAACTCTGGCATGTCATCTATAAGAATTTAAGTTAATTGTTGTTCAATAACAGGTTGTATTACAATTTGTTTATTCATTCATCAATTTATGAAATTCAGATTGTTTGAATATTATAAACAATGTTTATAAAAGTGTTTAGTCAAGGTATTATGTGTACAAGTTTTTAATTACCTTCAGAGTATGTAGATGAGTAGAATTATTGAATATATGACAACTGAAGCTGTAACTTTTACAGGAACCACAAGACTGTTTCAAATGGTCATGCCGTTTTCCAATGACACCAACAATGTATGGATTTTCTCCTTTTTTTCACATTCTTGTCAGTATGTATTTTATTAGGATTAGACAATATTTGAGATAGGAAGAAATTTAATTGTCCTGGTTTTAAATAAAATTATAGGAGTGAAGAACATTTCAAATCAAATGTTTGTCCTTTAGCAGTCCCTTGAATCAAATAACATTGTAAACAAAAATACAGTCCAAACAATGGGAGGTAATGCTCTTAAGAGGCAATCTTACTGATGGTATAGTTTGTGTGTGTGTCTGTGTCTGTGTCTGTGTCTGTGTGTGTGATATGTATTTTTCTCTATTTTTTAAAAGACTGTGACCAAATAGGAATTTGGTTCATTCCTCCAAATATATGCACGCAGTCTGAAGACTACATAAACCTTCTTAAGAATTATAAGTTTAGAACATAAAATTGTCTTGTAGATCTGTAGTCAGACAAGATTATAAATGTCATAAACAATTCAAAAGCAGGATAATTTAGACTATAACTCAGATCTCCTGAGTTACAAGTCAGAATCTCCATAGCCCTGGTGCTACACCCAATGATTAGAAACACATTTCTTCCTGTACTGACTGAGCAGACACAGAAAACAACCAAATGAGTCACCGCAGTTCCCTGAAAGCAGAGGAATAAACAAGGCTTTTGAATGTACATCTGTTTATTGATTCTTATGAATTGTTTGCAGATTTTCATAATCCAAACACAACTTGTCAGTATCCACACATGCATATGGCTCAAGATTTGGCAAAATCTTTATAAATAGCTCATTTAAGGAAAACAATAATTAAAATCTACCTACATTAAACACAAAATACCAAAGACCTTGGTAATAAATTGAGAGGGGTGTATGAGGGTGACATCTCAGTGTGGCAGGGCTGTTTGTTGGGAAGAGTGGAATAGTATTGACATTTTTACTTAACCTAATATTAAGACCCTTAAGGAAGAAAGTTGACCTTCCATACTACTTACATCCTTTCAAAATTCCAGTGAAAATGTAAATGGAGGAAAAAATTGAATACTGAAACCTGACTCACCTCCACTAAACACCTACTTCTGCCATGTAAACAAAAATCAGCTTTCTTTTTCAGATCAAATATGTAAAACTAGAATACTTTCCAGGCTCAGAGTTATGTTGAATACATGTCTAATGAAGTCTTCGACTGACTTATACTCCCAAGTAGAAGACACATAAAAGCATAGTACTCAATGTTGTCCCACTTTATAAGGACACTTCTTGAGCAAACATGCAACCATTTATTTGGCTATGGCCAAATATCAATTATAAAAAAAAAAAGCACCCTTCCCTTTTACCCGAGATACCTTAGAAATCAAATAAAAACAAAACTTCACCATATTCTAATTACCAACTCCAACTGTTAAATTTAAGGAAATTGGAACCAAGATGGTTCTTAGTATGATATATATATGCCTTGCTCTGTAAAAGCACAGTGTGGTGGAATGCCTCGCTCATTCAATCACATCGTTTTTGCTGTGCTATCATCACAATTCTTCTCACTGAGAAGCAGTGACCAACTTGAGTTTGAAGCAGTGCCAGGCACATGGTGACCTTTTGACATCTGGAAACTACTTAAGTTCAATCTACCTTAGACTGGGTGTTAGTTCTTCTCCATCAGAAGTATAGATATGACTAATTAAAGTTAGCGAGATAAGAATAAACTGTCCCAGAAAAAAAGTACAGAGTGCCCAAAGACCAAAGCCTAAAACCTTGGCTCACACGTATTTGCTAATGCTTACATGAGACCAGGTTTCCTGGTGCAGTTTTGTGAGTCATTGCTTCTAATCCCCTGCCAAGTACAATGGGACCTTTTAGCATTTTTCTCCCATGCTTTGCTTTTAACACACTTATCAGTGGTTTGACCTTAAGGCCCTTAATCAGTGGTTGTGGATGAGTTGTTATTAAAGATATACTTAACAGAATCTTCAAAACAGAAATCTTGTAGAGAATACTCTCTGTTAGTGGTAAGACCTGGTGATGAAGTTCACGTTTTCCTTTAACCACCAAGCACTTTAGGAATAGAAACTAGCTATAAAAGATTCATAAAGATTTTGAGATAATAAAGAATAATATAATCTCCACAGAAAATCTTGTTTCTCTCTGTTGATGAAACGAATAGAGAAGAACTAAAGGCAAAATGAACCTTCAAAAAGAACCAAATGGACAGCACACTAGGTATCAAACTGACATGTCAAAAGCAATACCCATCCATACCTTGGGGCATCTTTCCCATTCTCACTTAACTAACCCTAAATATGCTGGGGGTATTGTACTGAAATTGTATTGAAGCACCTTCTGGATGCTTGTATTGAAAGCCCAGACATCGAAAAGGGAAAAACTGACTCAAAAATATATCAAACTTCAGTCTGGATTCCTGCTAGGGCTAGAGAGATATAGAATTTCAAATATTAGATAAGGCCCAGGAGACCCATATGAAACTTCCTTTCTGTGTTATATGGTTCAATTCAGGACCATTGCTCTTTGACTATCCACTCGACCTTCTGGCAGACTCACAGAATCCTATGAGTCCAAGGACCCAAGAATCAAGTCACAAAATCTTATAAACTGTATTTAAGAGTTAGTGGTAGGAAAAGCAAGAAAAGGTCCTAAGATGAACTCATGTAACATTTTCCAATGGAAAATTCCACTACAGTTTCTGTAGCACTAGCAGATTCTGGGATCTATTGAATTATTTGGTGGCAAAAATGTTTTTGTTTCTTATTTACTACAATCTTTTCCTTCTTCCCTCCACCAATCTCTTTCTTCTGTTTGCTAGGATGGAATCTAGGTCCTTGTTCATGCTAAAGGCAAGTACTCCATCACTAACTAAATCCCTATCCCTTGGGATTTTGAGAAAGAGTCTTGCAGTGCACTGCAGACCTGCTTCAAAATGCTGGTACTTCTGCTTCCTTTATATTAAGAGACTACTTGCATGCATCCATGCCCTGTTCTTTTACCTTTGAAAACCCATCAGGAAGCTTCAAATGAGGAGAAAAGACTGAATACATTCAAGCCTTGTTATGCACTCCTATTTCACTGAGTAACCCCTTCACTGCCTTTCTCAAAGCCTGTATAATGAGCTACGGAGATGACAGCTCTGATATGAACAATAGAAAGGGAAGCACCATATGTGAAGTAAATCTTAGCATCTTTGACCAAAATGATTGTGCTTATCTTTAGGTTTTTGTAATAAATTAAGTCACATCAGCATTGTGGAGTGTATATAAAACTCTCAAGCAAAAAGATCCAGATGCTGTACTCACTTGACCGCTTTCCCCCATCTAAACCTGATCCACCAGGAGGGAATAGAAATGAAAACTAGTGGCTCTTTTTGGAATAAGGGGATACTTATAACCAGTATGGGATGCTCACATCTAAGTCCTGAGGGTCACATCTGCCATGCTCCACAGAAAGATCATGAAGGAAAAGGCTTCAGTTCATACTGAGAAGCATGTGAAACTGGAGGTTCAAGCTTAAGAGAAATGGACTGACTATTCTCTAAGCCAAGAAAGCACCAAATGGTCCCCTTTGCTCCTTACTGCTCTCCTCTTGCTCCTCAGAACTTGACAGTCAAGACCGGACTGGGAGGGAAAAAGGTAAGAATATTAGAGTAATAAAAATGGAAAGACATTTAAGAAAAAGGTAATTTTAAAATCTGAAAGACACTAATTTGAATCCTAGCAGAGACTGTTGGCAGCCTAATCTTTGAGAATGCAGATTCTAACAAATGCTGACTTCAAAGCAATCACAGGTACAGAAATCTAGGACATGAGTTGTAAAATTAAGGCTTAAGGCCTCGATCATGATATCTCTTTTTATATATTCTCCCACATTCTCTGTGTGTGTGTGTATGCATTTGCTGTGTGTGTGCATGTGTGTTCATGCTTCCCCCATTATTTCTCTCTCTCTCTCTCTCTCTCTCTCTATATATATATATATATATATATATCCTCCCATTCTATGTGTATGCGTGAGTGTGTGTGTGTGTGTGTGTGTGTATTAGGAGAGAGAGTCAAAGCAGAAAGCTAAATTGAAAAACACTTTATTTTTCTCTCTAAAGTGGTATATAGATGTCAACAGAATTCTGTAAAACCCTTCCTCAGATCTACCTGACAAAAAATATAAGAAGAAAAAATATACAGGCAGGAAAATTCGACCTTGTTTGTTGTTATTCCCCCACCTCGATAATTAATTAACTGGCCCATAGCCATTTTCATGGCTATGAATTCTGAGTCCCCAGACTAAAAGAAGAAAACAAAAAATGTTCAAGGCCAGTCTTGGGAAAATGGTGGGGATTTAATTCTCTCGTAGGATGGGCCCTGTGTACCCCGTTTTTAGAGTACTGATTATTGTGGGGCCCATGCTACAGCTGTTGAATAGAAGAAGAGCAGGAAAGTCCAGGAACAATCACTGACAAGGTTGCCAAGAGTGAAAGAGACCTAGAAAAAGAGCAGAGTAGTTAGAATCCTGTGATGCTGTGTAATCACCACCCTCCTCTTTCTTTTCTCTAAAAGTTCGTGTTTGGACCAGTGATTTAAGGCACAATAGCTGAAATCTCTCACCTAGCCATGGAGATAACAAATCTATCCTATTCCAAACTAGAAAAAAAAAAACATTTTTTCCCTGAGACTGGGTTAAGTTTTAGTACCATGTACTTAATAAAAACCCAAAGTGGTTGTCCTCACTTCTCACATATGGCAGAGAAGTCAGATGTGTGACCCAGGGAAAGAACTAGAACCCATAAGTGAGTACAAGATACCATTATGCTTTTTATATTGAGCTCCAGTTTGTCAGTTGTAAGTGTAATACACATTGGGCAGTTGTGAGCTTCTTTTCACTAGAATATTTGAACAAGAACTACATAACCTCTAGACGAAGAAATAGATTGGGTGTCCTTAGGGCAAAATTCAAAGATTCAAAATCCAAAATACTCAAAATTTTATTCCTATTTGACATTGACACCATAAGTGAAAAATTGCATACTTGCTCACACATGACAGTTTGTACTAAGAATAGCACATGAAAGTACCTTCAGGTTATGTGTGCAAAGTGCACATGAAGCACAAATGAATTTTGTGTATGTTGTTTTTTTTTATCCATGATGTTTCTATACACACACACGCACATATACATGCGTACAACATATGAATATGTGACATATATTGAGGTAACATACACATAGATTTCAAAATCCAATGATGGAGTTAGATGAACTCTGTAATGGAGCTGCGAATCCCAGGTTCTAGCCTAGTTCTGAGAATGGATTACTCTGTCTTTAAGCAAACCACTTTTCATCTCTGTGGCTCAGTTTCTGCCTGTTTAAAACGAGATTAGCATATTTCTCATTTGCCTACCACAAAGGTATGAAGTTATGAAGTTCAGAAAAAAATGTAGTGGCTATAGAAGGAATTTGTAATTGGGGACCAAACACAGGGAAAGGAAGGAAATGCCATCATGGTACAAACACCTCTCACGAAGACATTATAAAGGACACTTGTGTATGTCGTCATTCAATCCTCACACTGACTCATGAGCAGAAAACTCTGTGTCTGAACGAGGTAAAATGATTTCCTCGAGATCATAAGGCTGTTCAGGAACAAGGGTTCATCTGAATACAGAGTTGCTTATTTGTATGATGCTGTTGTGTTTATACAAACAAAAGGAGTAAACAATATGACTAGTCAAGAGTAGGGTCCAGATGAAGAAGCTGGCATCACGCCCGCCTGCCAGGTCTCCAGACAATTGTTGGCGTCCAAATCTGATGTAAAATTAGCTCAAAGACTTAGTGCCTCAACTGTTGCCTCTCCAACCGCTACCAGCCTCATTTCCTGCCATTCTTCCACCCAAGCCCTATCAGACAATAGAACTGGGGCTGGAAAATTGTTGAGAGTGGCCCACACCTCCTGGTCTTCTAACCACATTTTTCTAGCTCACCTCAGTAGAGTCAAAGGCTGGGAACTTGAAAAGGTACTCGGAGCTCCAGGCTCTCTCCGGAGCTTTCAACTGTGTTCTCCCTCAGGGTTTCAGCTCCAGTACAGGGCACAGAGCTGGAAAACTTTTGCAGGTCCAGCTCTGTACATTCAATGGGGGTATGGACCCATTTAGAATGGCTCTCTGAGGCGCAGGAGGTCATGGTAAAGGACTCCTGGGTGGGGAAGCCACGCGTGGAACTGCAGTCGTCATCCAAGATGGAGCTGAGTGGCTTGATCTCATTCACTGGAAATTCAGGACTGGTCTCCTGGCCAGGTGGCATGGGGAAAAGAGAATCCTCCTCCACTGCCTTTTCAGCCTCATATTGCAACGAACCTCCTGCAACTCAAAGCAGAAAGCCACTGAGTCACCCCGCCCGCCCAAAATCAGGGTCTCTTCTCAACAGGGTATCTCTTCCTGAGCACCAACTATAGGAGGGGCGAGGGGCTCTAGGAGCCAGACTCTGAGCATCTAGAAGTAGGTGAAAATGACACATTTCAGAGACATGCTTTTCTTGGGGTATTACATTAAGTCTTTTAGATGCTGGATTAGGGAAGACAAATTTCTTCAGCTAGAGATAAATGCTTTGTAGGAAAGGTGTTTTAATATGCTTCTTTCTTCCATGATCTGGGTATATTACATGGGAAAGGAACCATGCAATCAGAATTATGGTAGTGGATGTTAAAATAGGAAGATTATCTTGAATTATGCAGATGAGTTCAGAAAATCCTTAAGATAAATCATGATTTTTTTATTCTGTGATTAATGATGAACATTTTAATTTAGTTCCATTTCTCTAGGTTGCTAGATGCATCCTGATAAGTGTCAGAAGGCAGAAATGACACCGAGCATTAATATAGAAAGATGTGGCATAACATCTCTCTAAACAACTTCATTATACCATTGCTCGTTTTAGACAAAGAAGAGAGCCATGAGCCAAAACATATGAGCAGCCTCTAGAGCAGTGGTTCTCACCCTTCTTAATGCTTCAACCCTTTAATACAGTTCTTCATGTTGCCTCTTTAAAAGTACAATTTTGCTACTGTTTTGAATTATAAATAGCTGTGTTTTCTGAGGGCCTTAGGCAACCCCTGTAAAAGCATCATTTGAACCCCAGAGGGTTCATGACCCACAGGCTGAGAACCACTGCTCTAGAAGCTGGGAATGACCTTCTATGCACAGCCACCAAGAAAATAAGACTTCAGTTCTACAAACTCATGAGGGAACAGATTCCCCTCGGACAGACAGAAAGAAACACAGTCCTGCCAATTTCTTGGTTTAGGCCTCGTTAAGATTTCATACAGTGTGCTAAACTTCCGAACTATGGAAACTGAGGCAAGCCATTAAATGTGACAACTTGTTACAACAATGATAAAGATAAGCAATTCATCATTCATGCATGAGTCAGACTCAATATTAGGTTACAAACTGAGTCTCTGTGTCTTTATGTTTCCCCCACTGTGACCGCGTTTCCACAGTTTGTTCAAATTACGTGAGTGCGTAAGAAAATTTCATACAAAATTACAAATGTCTGGACTATTTGAAAATTTGGAAGGTTTCACAGTGGTAGCAAATGGATGCAGCTGAGTAATGGATTCTTGATTAGAGAGGAGATGGTCCTTCTAGTATGTCACAATACTATTCCTTTTTCCTGCATCTGCATTGGATTTAATTCACATCAGGTTGCCCCTCCCTTTCAAAGCCATAGAATGTGTATAAGTCAGTGAGTACTAATAAGCACATTTGTCCTAAGGAAATCATAAGGACACTACCTGTCCTTATGTTCCCAAGGAGATACTGCAATAGTATAGAAAGGGGGTTACTCATTTCTTCTCTCCCAAGGGAAGAACAGGGAGACAGGCAGGTCTTAGATGTCTCATCACATTCAGCTTGCTGAGACCTGTGACCCAAACACTTCATTACCCATGATTCAGTACTGGGCAAGAATTCTTACATTACACACTACCTTCCAAATACTGAATGGTCAATGAGACAGAGATCCAGTGGTCCACCATTGTCTAAACTGTCAGAGCTACCACAGGAGCTTTAAGGAGACTGAAGTAAAGCTGAAGAAGGGTCATTGAGAATCAAGAGGGGAAAACTACATCTCATGAAATGCTAGATTCATCTTTGCTTAAACATGGAGTATGCACAGGTAAATCATTGATAGACTCTAGAGCCAAACTGACTAAGCAAGTTCTATTTAAGAAGGATTTTCCAACACAAACAGAATGCAGCTATAACAACGTGCTGCTTCAGGTACAGTATCCATTTAGCTATTGAATCCTGACAGTTCTTGTATCCAGTAAAGTCCATCCTTTCCTTTGCTAATACTGGTCTAATTATTAGGCTATGTTAGATTTTTCATTGTCCCTGTTTAGTTCTTGCTTCTGTTAATTGCACTAAAGCTGCATTGAACACTGGTATTCGTGTCTGGAATTCTAATGTCTTATTTAGTCCTGATGATCCCACCTCTTCTGTATTCGCTCCCTGATGAACTATACTTTCTGTCTTACATTGACTGATAGATGAAGTTGACAAAAGTAAAAGTGTTCTCAAGACTTTAAACTTGACAATCTGTCTTGATTTTAATGCACCATCTCCTATGGCTTTGGCCAGATCTTCAGCAGCAGTATTTTGGAAGACAGAAATGATGTGGGAGTGATTTCTTATTAATAAAGAAACTGCCTAGGCCCCTTGATAGACCCACCCTTAGGTGGGTGGAGAAAACAGAAGAGAATTCTGGGAGAAAGAAGCTTAGTGAAGGTCGTCGCCATGATTCTCCCACTCCAGACAGACGCAGGTTAAGATCTTCCCTGGTAAGCCAGCTCGTGGGCTACACAAAATATTAGAAATGGGTTAGAACAATATGTAAGACCTAGCCAATAAGAGGCTACAGATAACGGGCCAGGCAGTATTTGAAAGAATACAGTTTCTGTGTAATTATTTCGGGGCATAAGCTAGCCATGCGGGCGGCCGGGTGCCGGGGACGCAGCCTCGCCGCTCCTATCTCAACACAGAAAAACATCAGAATGTTGACTAAACACTATGCCTTCAGTTATCCAGTTTTGGGAAGCTCCTATATTGACAGCACTTACTGTAGACCTCATTAACTTTTATTAGTCATGTTTCAGGTATATCTAAATCTCCAATTCTGATATTTCAGAATCTATTAATACATACATAGAGAAAACAGTTTAAACAACTTATTCCATTCCATCTATCATTTTGAAGATTAAAAATAAATAAACCTAAAGAATCTATATAATTTGAGTTACACAATGATTTAAAAATAAAGTTAGATAATTGGTCTCTGGGTTTTTTACCAAGTGATTTCCCATTAAGGGAGACTCTCCACGAACCCTTAAAACCTAATAAACTGGTCCACTAAACTTCCAGGTGAATTCTAGCCCTTTTGACGTTCCATATTTTTTGATGCTATGCCAGATAGTTCCCACATGATAACAGAGCATGATGCCTGTGATTTTCTAATGTGATAGGGAAGGCACCTTTACTTATTATCTCAAAAATCTTCCTCTTTTGCCAAAAATTGTATATTACTTTTGTTTCATGGGAAATGTTAAACAGACACACTTACCACATTGACAATGTCTATTAAAGAGCTGCTTGCAGTAGAGGAAGAAGAGTCCAAGGAAGGCCAGTGCAAACACTACCAGCAGACTGCCCACCAGTGCGACAAGCGTGGCTTCCTTACCGGGAACAGCGTGTGCATCTACCTTCACTAAACTCAACTGGAAGGTACCTGTGGAACGATAACAAAATAATAGGAGACTCTGTCAATGTGTGCAGTTAAGAGTTGGAAAAGGGCCCTAAAGTTCCTTAGGCCACATCTGCTTTAGGCCATCTCTATCAGGACTGCTATGTTCTTATCTGAGATTAGGTAAGATCATAATGAAAAAGCAAAACTCATATGCTGCAGGCATGATATAAATTAGCATGACTAACCAAAAGACGCTGCTGTTGTGGTTCATTCATGCTATGTTTAGTAATAGAACCTAAAAAAAAATAGAAACAAATTAAAATGCTCATCAGTAAATACTAGATCAGTAAATCGTGATTTACCCTCTAAGACGTCATAAAAGACCTTTTGTTGATTAATATAAATAACCCAGTGGAGAAAAACGAAGTGAAGAATTGCTTGATGACCTTTATAGAAAAACGTTGTAAAATACAAAATACTAGCAACATTGTCTAAGAATATGAATATACAGAATGTAATAAAAACATTTAAACAGTAGTGGAGAAGGTAGCAGAGGAATATGCCCATGAATTAACAACACACTCTTCATGTTCTTTTACACCCTTACAGCAAAGACATCAACATACTTGCAGCCAATGCACCTTGAGTGTAAACAATGCATGGCATTTCTAGACTGAGTCAGTAAAGAGCTGATACATCTCAATCATTTCATTCTGTGACAAGGAACTGGGCACTACCTAGTCTAGCAATTTTAGGCACATGATACAAGAAGGTTTTGGCCTTATGAAAGGAAACATGGGATTTGTGAATTGCCATAGGATAGTCTGGTAAAAAGCTGCTTAAAATTTCAGGACAGTGGTTGTTTCTGTGGCGGGAAGGAATGAAGAGGATTCAGGAAGGATCGAAAGGGGAAGGTTATTATATCTGTTCTTTTAAAACGCTGAAGGAAATATTTAAAAAATAGGATTTTTTATCTAGGAATCTCAGCTAATTTAGGACTTTATATTTCTATAATTATGTGTATTTAGCAAAGTCTGTTTTATTTATCATAATTTTTAGGGATTGTTAGAGATACACCAATAATTTAAAGACTATATTAGAAGACACACAAAAATTATAGAAGTCAGACAAACAAGTAAATGACAAGTGACATGGATATAGACTATATTCTAGTTATTTTTTCAGATATTAATGTGGTATAAAACCTAAAGACTCCCATATACCATGTGTATCGACTCTAATAGCAATATTGACTATAATTGCAATTAATAAGTGTAGAAATACTATTATATGTAAAGTAGATTGTAACATTCATTATGCCACCAAACCCAGCCAAGTAGCTCACAAAGCATGAATAAAAATATTTCCTCATTTAGATTCAATTTTCAAAACAAGGGAAAAAATGATGTCCAATCAGTTTGAATGCTGCAAAGTTGAAGTTTAGTCATAGGTGACTGCCTTTACCAACAATACAATAGAAGGAGTACTAAGGAGTATTTTCCTTCTACAGGAATAAAGAAGTCTATTGACTTCATTGACACACAGAGTTTTGGGGGGAAGACAGGAAAGAAAAATAGATACACACACTGAACCTCAGAAGAAGGAGTCTGCTTTGTACATGGGATGCATTCTTGGTCCTGCAGGCCCCCGATGCGCGTCTTTCGGTAGAACCTGTGATCAGAGCAGAAAGGAATGTGGAGGGATGAAACGAGCAATTGACTTGTACCAGTCCTTCTTGAGGCTGTAGGGAATATCTAAGAGTCTTTCCCTCATGTTTCCTGCATGGGACGCAGTACCTACCCTTGTGGGATCTCTGACATGTGTGATTCAGTCCACCATTTTCTTAAGCCATCACATTCTATAGCCAAAAGGGGAGTTAAGGTCATGAGACCAACTTCTTCATGATTTCTGTGCAGTCTGTCTAAAGCAACATTTTTTTTTTGGATAACTCTTTGTTTTTTAATTTATTAAAGATTTCTGTCTCTTCCCCACCTCCGCCTCCCCTTTCCCTCCCCCTCCCCCAATCAAGCCCCCCCCCTCGTCAGCCCAATGAGCAATCAGGGTTCTCTGCCCTGTGGGAAGTCCAAGGACCACCCTCCTCCATCCAGGTCTCGTAAGGTGAGCATCCAGACTGCCTAGGGTCCCACGAATCCAATACGTGCAGTAGGCTCAAAAACCCATTGCCCATGTTCTTGAGGTCTCAGTAGCCCTCATTGTCCACTATGTTCAGTGAGACCTGTTTTAACCCAGGCTTTTTCAGACCCTGGCCAGGTGGCCTTGGTGAGTTCCCGATAGAACATCCCCATTGTCTCAGTGTGTGGGTGTACCCCTCGCGGTCCTGAGTTCCTTGCTCGTGCTCGCTCTACTTCTGCTCCTGATTTGGACCTTTGGACCTTCCAGACCCAAAAAGAGGGACATGGGATGTCCTCACTCATATTTGGTTTCTAGCCATAAATAAAGGACATTGAGCCTATAATTCGGGTTCTTAGAGAAGCTAAATAAGAAGGAGAACCCAAAGAAAAACATATAGGCATCCTCTTGAATATTAACCTTCATCAGGAGATGAAAGAAGACAGAGACAGAGACCCACATAGGAGCACTGGACTGAAATCTAAAGCAACATTTTTACTTTAAATTTTAGACTATCAGAACAATTAGAAAGCTTTTAAGCACTCATCTGTGTTTGATAATTGCCAGGTATTTTATATATAGGGATATAGTTAGGAATATATGGCTTCCCATTCATAGAGCTTAAATAGATCATGACATGGGTAGTTAGAATACTTCGACTAGGGTCTAAGCGGTAGGATGATAAGTGACATCAAATAGCTTTAAAACGTTCCAGAAAGACTGATATCATTTAGTGGCATACCTGGGCATACAGTCTCCGCAGATAGCATTAGAGGTATTCGTGCAGTTGGCTTTCTGGACCCGATTGATGACAGCACAGGTGATGCAAGTCTGACACCTGTGATGCCCCCATGTGCTTTTATATTTTCGGGGAGGGCAGGCTGTGCAGTATGCATCTCCACCTTCTCCATAACCGCAATCCTGAAATAGAAGAGTAGTCAGAAAAGCTCTAAGAGGGTATCTGCTAGGACTCAAATGAATATAGTATAAAGCAATATTTTTTTTTAAACTACAAGTTTCCTCCATATTATTTGGTCACTGAAACAATTTACTAGGTTGTAACCAACATGGAAAATTGAAATGGAAATAAACAGCGTAGTGATATAAAAGGAAGTAAAGCCAAGCACATCAATTAAAACAAACAAGATCACACTATGGAAAAGAACCTGAAAACTTTAGCTATGTGAAAACAAAAGGTTATTTCTCTTGTGTTTGTTTGTTTGAGCCAGGGTTTTTCTGTGTAGTCATAGCTATTCTTGGCTGTCCTGGAACTTGCTCTGTAGACCAGGCTTACTCACCCTCAGTCTATTAGAGATTTAATGAGGGTTCTGACCTGCATTAGCCACAATGGAGCATACATGAAAGGTTTCATTTTTGTGCTACTATGACTGAAGCATTGGGTAAAAGAGAACATTTTGTCCTCAGAAATAATACACTTTGCTTTTATCATACAGCACAGGACACACAAATCAACTGATCACTATTAAGTATAAAAAGTACAAGAAAGCATAATTTTACAGTATGTCAAAAGATGGGTACTAGCAAATATCTGACATAAAAGATAGTACCTATCTTTTTAATTAACTTTCACAGGTAAAACACATATTAGTATATGCTGGGTAATGATGAAAAATTACATCTTACTCTAGTATAATAAAATGTTTTAATATTCACTGGATAAGTGATTTATTCTGGCTTTTGCTTCAAGTTAGGTATCAATGCAATGATGCTATTAATATTATTCCCAACCTATTTTTTCTGTGCACAAGATAACTGAGAACTTGAAGAGATTTTAATAGACATACTGTAAAGATTATTCTAGCTCTTCTTCTCTGGAAATCAGTCTAGTGGTTCCTTAAAAATACGGGAATCAGTCTACCTCAAGATCTAGCCATACAACTCTTGGGCATATACCCAAAGGATGCTATATCATACTACAGAGACACTTGCTCAACAGTGCCCATTGCTGTTCTATTAATAATAGCCAGAAATTAGAAACAGCCTAGATGTCCTTTAGCAGATGAATAAATAAAAATGTGGGGTCATTTCTACTATGGAACATTATTCCCTGTTACAAAATGAATCAGTAGGTAAATGGATAGAACCAGAAAAAAAAATGTCAGCCCTAGGAAAGACAAATATGCTATGCATTATATGTTGATGCCAATAGTTAAGTCAATTATAATAAAGTTACAATCCAAAGAGGGGATGAATAGATATCCCTAGAGAAAGGAACTAGAATAGACAGTTATGGACAGGTGGGAATACTGAAATAGGATGATCAAGTAGGCTGGGGGAGGAAAAAGGGAGATGAGAGAGGGAATATAGGGAAAAACTAAAATTAAGGGTCATTTTAGGACTAGTATGGAAACTTGATGCAGTAGACATTTCCAAAAGTATGCACATATATGAAGGCACTCTAAATGAATTTGTCAAATAATGGGGGAGAAAGAACCCCAACTGGACATTTCTTATCAAAAATGTGGAAGCCATCAGTACAAGCAATGGGTTATATCTAATTGAGTTGTTGGCCAATGTGGTCCCATGGGAACGCCCAAATAACATGGGTTGTTGCAAAGAGTATAGGTTACTCTACACAAACTGACCTCAAGTCCACATTTTTGAAGACAACAACCTACGCAACTCACTAAAGATGGAGAATTCAAGTAGTTGCCTACCTAGAGGCTTCACCTATGCAGACTAGTGTTCTTGCTACCAGATGGTACTCTGCACACAAACAAAGGAGAAGCATAAACACTAACCCAAGTATAAACTCTTTGATCTACAATGGTCACCTGCCTACAAAACATGCTAGGACCATGGTGGCAGAAAGCTTGTGGGAGTAACCAACCATACCTGATTTGATATAAGGTCTACTCCATGAGAGAGAAGCCATATCCAACACTGCTTGTGGGACCAAAAGCCTGAGATTAGACATCTCAGTGACCTAGGATAAGACCAAATACTGCTGTCCTAAATAAAGGAGTAGCAATAAAACGACTCCTAATGACAATTTCTATACTCATAGATCAGTGTCTTCTTCAGTTATCATCAGAGAAGCTTCTTTGTGCAGCTGCAGCAGATGAGAAAAATATGGAAACCTAAAGCCAAACATTATTCAGACAGTGATTTTGGAACCCTCATCCTTATATGGGATGCCTCCATCAAATCCTTCCTCTCAGGGATCAAGGAACCCTGAAGAAGAGGAGTTGGAAAGAGTGTAAGAGCCAGAGGGGATGGAGGACATGAAGAAAACAAGGCCCTCTAAATCAACATGATCAAAAGCACTAATGAACTTACAGAGACTAAGGCAGCATACACAAGGCCTACACGAGTCTGCCCAGATATTATCCTAGAGTTGAAAAGAGAAGGGGACAAATGTACCCATTCCTACCTAATTCAGAAACTGTTTCCATTTGATAATCACTTACAAATGAAAATTTAGTTTTCTCCAAGTGAGTGTCACTGGAGAAACAAACAACTCTTAAGGGTAGCCTGTACCCCCAGCAGTAGATGGCTAATAAAAAATTAACTCAATGGCATCCTTGGACATTTCTCGTTTCGTAATGCCAGGTCAGGGTTTTCCCTTTTTTAAAGTTTATCTTATTTTTACTTTCATTTTTACTTTATTTATATATTTTTGCTTTCTCTTTACCCTACAGGTCTTTGCATATATATTATGGCTTTCGTTTGAAAGATTTTGTGGGATTCCTGAATATGAGAATATGAGATAAATAGAGAAAATTTTAAGAAAACATCTTTGCAATCATCAGGTAGTCTAGCAGAGTAATGCAAGACCCAGCAGTACCTCCCAAAAGAATATAGACGCAACAATATATGTACCCAGGATATAGAAAATTAGTCTTTCAAACTGACATCTACAAAGAAGGCATGTATGTTAACACAGACAACTGCCTGATAAAATGGATGATTTTAGTAAGACTCTGAGTCTCCTGGAAAATAAAGTCAGACATTATAAACATCTTTGATAACAAGAATCAAGAAAATCAGATTAATGAAAACAAGGCAATCAACAGGCACTACCAGTTAAATGAATCAATTATTGGAATTGCTTAACAAGGATTTTAAAACACCCATAAAAACTGTTTTGACAAGCAATTACAAATTACATTTAAATATGAGAGAAAATTATAACACCACAGCAAATAAATGACTTTTTTATTGGCAACTTTGTTTTTTGACAAAGTGCTCAAGCTGACTTTAAGCTTGAAGTTGTTTTGTTCCTGTCTTCTGAATGCTGGCATTAGAGCTGGAACTAACAATATTCAGCTCAAAGAAATTATTTTTTAAAAAGCCAAATTGAAGTTATAAAAATAACTAAATAGATAAACAAAATTCACTGGGTGCGCTAATTACAGGAAATTAGAAAAATCGCCGAACCTGAAGATAAAACAATAGAATGAATGCAGTTCAAACAGCAGGAAAATTAGACTAGCATAGGCAAAAAGAAGACAATGACTGGAGAACTTTGGGGTTATAATCAAGCAACATATGAAAGGAAAATCAAAATTATTTGTGTCAAAAAAACAACCAAAGAAACAAAGGCTGAAATTTTCACAAATTTAGAAAAAGAATAACCAGATGACTATCAATTAGAATAGAATAAATTCAAACAAATACAAATAGGTTATTACAGTTAAGTAGTGAAAACAATATGGTAATGACACAAAATTGGACATGATGACAATTGGGGAAAAAAACCCTGAAGATCCAACCTGAGAGTGCATAACCACATCCGTCTGATATTCTAAAGAAATGTCCAAAACATACACTGGAGAAAAGACAGCATCTTCAACAAATGGTGCCAGGAAAACATTATGTCCCCATGTAGAAGAAAGATCTGAGACCTGTGTCTCTCGTCTTTCACAAAATCTAACTCCAAATACAACAAAGAAGTAATATGAAATCTCAAATGTCTAGAGAAAAAATATATGAAGTATATTATGTGAAATGAGTGTAGGAATGGACTTTCCATATAGGATTCCAATTGCCCAGAAATTGAGGTCAACAACTGACTTTACAAAATTATAAAGTAGAACCTCATAAAACTAAATAGTTTCTGTCTAGCTAAAGAAATGATCACATGAAGAGTACTCCCACAGGATGAGAGAGAATCTTTGCCAGCTCTGCATCTGGCAGAGGATTAACATCCAAAAAAAAAATGTAAAGAACTCAAAAAACAGACAAAAGCAAAAACAGTTCACAAATAAACCATTCAAAAAATAGGCTTGAGATAAGAAAAGCAGGGAGAAACTGGGTATTAATGATCTGATCAGGGAAATGGGACAAAGAGGCTGTAATTATGGAAGGGAGAAGGTAAATATAGAAGGAATAGGGATGAGGATAAAATAACAGTAAGCATGTCTTAAAAAGTCACAAGGAATCACACTATTAACTATTTATCAAAAAATCTTATTAAACATAACTCTATGCATAAATATATGTACATACATTAAATAAAAATTTCTTTTTATTTAACATAAAAATACATCAACATATGCTCTCAGTTGGCAATGTTCTTTCCAAGAGCCAAAAACAACCTAACACAAAACCCCCAACACTAGGCATATGAAACCTTCTTTTGAATTTTTGGTCAGGGTTGTCCAAGAGACTCCTAAAACAGCCTTTTGCTATTGACATTGATTGCCCTCAAAAGTAGAAGGTAAGTCCTTGTTGCTAAAGACAGTATGCACTTTAGGCACAGGGCTCAGATGCCCCTGTGCTGGAACTAACTTGAATGTATCCTCCATGAGGAGTAGCTTTCATCTTTCCAGAAGAGACCATGTCGCCATCCAAAGCTTCCAAAGGAAGAACACAACTAACATAACCCAGTTATGACACTTATGAAACCAACAGTGACTTCTATGACACAGATACAGCAGTGGCATACATACCTTGCT